TCCCCTGACAGTTTCCTGAAGGCTCTGGGGCTTCCCTAGATTTGGGAAGGAGAAAGAGTGCCAGAACCTGGAGCTTACCTGTCAGGACAGCAGCTCCAGTGGGCCCCCTCGTGGCCTGGGTCCTTCAGGAGCTGTGCTGCCATCACTGTGGAGTTCCCTGCAGCTCCACACCCCTGAGGTTGAGAGTTTCAGTGTCACCTGAACTTACCTAGCTTTGTCCCACAGATCAGTGAAGTATCAGTGGACAAGGCCACAAAGAATGGCTGCTTCTCGTCCACTTTCCTGCCCCCAGCTCCCTGCCTCCATGGAGTAGCTACAGGAGGACCAAAGGAAACAGTTCAGAGCCTATCCTGGGCTTTCCCAAGGGTGTTCTAGCTGCAGAACCAGAGCAAGGCAGCTAAACTAGAGGGCTGGTGCAGGTCACTCCACTTCAAAGCTGCCATGCAAAAGGATTGACACTCCATTTCTTTTTAATTTAGGGACTCCTTATTCACTCGACTACTCAAGAGGGAGCAGCAGTCATGATTGAAACCGATAGCTTTCTGCAGGAGGGACTGTTTTACTACACACAGGCTGTATCTACATGAGACATTGACTGAACAGTTGTTACTGTGAGGCCATACACAAGCACTAAATGACTGTGCAATAACCAGAGTCACTGCACAGTAGTGTCCCTGAATGTTTTTTTGGTGATGCTGACTGCACAGTAGCTCATTACTACTGCACAGTAGCATCGCATCATGCTTTGTGCCATGCAAAGCTACCGTGCAGTAGTAACAAGCTACTGTGCAATCAGCATCTCATGTAGACACGGCCACAACGTGTAGCATGGCAGAGGCCTGATTTCCGAGGGAGCTTCTGGGAGCTACAGTCACCGGAACACATAATGTTCTCCTGGTGCACGAGCCAACAAGTAACTCTTGAATTGGCTTCTGCAGATCACAGCCAAGTTCACCAACACCATGGTAATATCACTGCTAAGGTCTATTTTTTCTCTACTATTTTAGGGAAGCGGTTTGGGACCAGGCACCTACAATCTCAAAAACAGCATAGATGAGCTGCTGAATCGTGTGGTCAGTAAACGAGGTCCATATGACACTTTCTCTGGAGACAGGTCAAAGCCAGTTATCTCTGGGCATTATGCTGTTGAGGTAAGCACCCCCAGCCCACTGATAGGCAATGGTGTTGTCTGCTCAGTGATACAGTGAAATATCCTCCCAGATTGTTATTAGAAAAAGGTTGCTGCTACGTTAAATACCGTTTTTATTTTAAGAAGTCCTTTCCATTGCACTGAGGGTCTCAGATGATTAACATTCAGTGCCTGACCCTCCATGGGGATACATTAGCTCAGCTCCATGTGTGTCAATGCAGCTACATCAAGTTGCTCTAGAGTCTGGCTATGACGTACAAACCATTTAAAGGGTAAAGCTTTAAAGGCTTATGATATAGTTAAGGTTTTATCATATATCAGCTACTTTGTGGTAACTGCCCACATGCATGCTCTTACCCAATGGTAAGTGGAAGCCAACCTGTGACAGTTTAGCTCCACTTTGGAGTTGGATCAGATCTCCTCACCAGCAGATGTTGTGGTTGACCCCAGGAGCCATGGGGTCTATTCAGACAGCCACATCACACATTCTCCTCCAACAATGGACACTTCTTTTCCTTCGTTCCTCTAGAAAAAACTCTATGAGCCGGGTGCCAGCAATCCCAAGAGCTTTGTGGAGGAGCTGGAGACAAAGAACAATAAGAAGAAAGGTGCTTTCAGCACTCTTGCACAAAACCCAGGCTGCCCCACGGAGCGAATCTTCTGGGCCACACTCAGCCAATGTCCACGGGACACGGTGGGTGATACCCTGTCCTTTTCCTCTCTTTTCCCTTGAGTAAATGATGGCACTTGGTGCAAATACACCACTGGGCACCAGGGCAACTGGGAAGCCAAAGGGAAAGGCCAGAAAACCATGTCTACCTGACTGAACTCTAGCAAGCTATGCTGCTCAATACAGCTGCCTAGCTCTGTATGGTGCCACAGGTGGGCTCATTAGCCTCGGTCTGCAAATAGATTGGTCACCTGGAGGCTGGGGTCAAGTTAGAAAACCATGGGGGGAAGGGGAACAAGCATCAGAGTAGCAGTGGGAAAGTGATTAGGTCTGTACCTGGTAATGTTCTCTTACTCCCTTTAATTGCATAACATGGTACCAGAGTAACCATTCCCTGGTACTCAGGGACCATATATGTCCCTGAGTGTCCATACTGCAGAGGCCAGGGAGTGTAGACATGATGTGGCTATATGGCAGCATGGACCTCACTGGAGTTGTAAAACCCACCTAAGAAGCAGGGCAATGCTGTGGTGCCTGTCCTGACTCCCTGCTACCCCATGTGCAGCACTAGCAGGGCTGGAGCTAGCTACTTTAAAAACAGTTGGGTTTGCCTACACCAGCTGCAGTCACAGCAGTGACTAAGCAGCCAGTGCCAAAGCACCCTCTGAGTATAAGTCACTCCTGGGTGCATATTGGCTGGCTACAAATGAATGCAAACAGCTGAATGCATTTGGCAGAACATCACACTCATACATGCACCAGCAGGTAACCCTGTGTTGGCTCGCTTACCTGAAAAGCCTCTGGATTAAAATGATTGCCTCCATTTGCTCAGCCAAACATGGTGAACAAATTGCTTCTCACATGGTATCATCAATCACAAGTTATTGGAGAATAAAGCCTGCTAATTGGGATTGACGTTTTGAAGCCTCTGGATGCTGGTATCTAGCCCTGCTCTCTACTTATTGAAGCATTTGCTTGGAACTGTATGTGTTCAGTGATGTTAAGATGAATCTTGAGTGATCCCATCCCAGCCAGCAAAGCAATGAACAATGCACTGAATTTCAAGCATAAGTGAAAACCCCCAGAGACTGAAACAAATTCTTAAAGTTACATACACAACATTAAATGCTTTGCAAAATAATTTTGGTAATTCTAGTAATCATGGGTCTCACTTGATCTAGTCTCCCTGCGATTTTAGATCAAGTCTACTCAGGTATACTACCCTGTATGGGAAAGGGTAGTATATTTAATACCATCATGACAAACTTATCCTGGGCCCTGACGGTCAAGCAGTTCTTTCCTCTCAAACATCATCCGGGCTCCTGTAACTGGAGTCTAGCTAATGATTTTGTTGATGCATGAAGAGTATAAACCTTGCCACTGTCCCGCAGCTGTGCAGCCTTGTCTGCAGGGCTAATGGGATTAAAGAAAAGCTAACAATTTACACCAGCCACTAGCATTAGCAAATATGACTCTGAATTCATACAGGGAAAAGAATGGCTGAGTAAGGAGGTTTGGATTTGTTTTTTCCTGCAGTCCCTTTTACAAACCCAACTGCACTGCAAAGCTCCCTTTGGATTTGGTGGGAGCAGGAGTGGGTTTGTACTACGTTGCATGTGACTAGAAGTGGGTATTCATGCTGCAGAGTGGTGGATCATTGTGCTGAATTCTGACTGGAAACGTAGGGCCAGTGGCTTCTTGGATCTCCGGTGTTTTTGGGGAGCTTACACCCATGGTTGCAATGAGTTTACTTCCTGTCCTGTATCTCTAGCAAAGAACTGTTTCTCAGCTCTCTGGCTACCAGAAGAATTCAACGCAATCACCGATTCAGCAAGGTAATTAAGTAGATGCCTAAGGCTAAGGATTTGAGTGAGATACTTGCGCATGAACCACGCTGAAATAGAACCTAAGTGAATCTCCCTGACTCTGTGCAGCTGTCACTACTTTGCATTGTAACTTGTCGCACTTTGTTGTAGTATGCTGCAGGGCCAGGCTCCTATGATCCAAAACCCATTGAGAGATCAGAGTACGACAATCAACCTCCATTTTTGTCATCTGCAAAAAGATTTGACAGGAGATCATGCCGTCTCTTTTTTGCAAACTCCGTGAGTAGAAAATGACTGGTAAAAAGAGATGTCGAGGCATGAAAATTCCCAGGCTCTCAGTTCCTTCCATGATAATTTCATGCCTCTTCCTGACATCTCAACTTGAGAAAGGGATTCTTGGAAACCCAAATGTAATACTGTTCTGCTTGCTTATGGGGTAGCAGAAGCAGCAGTGGAACGCTGCCTCCCTCCGCCTGATCCAAAGACCATTGAGTTCAGTGGAAGGAGTCCCATTGGCACTGATATGCTACTCGTCTACAGTGGCAGGTGATGACCTACCTGAAAACCTTTCCCTGCAAAAGGGCAGTTTCAACTCTGCCTTATATACATTAGTTCAAGAGTTATCCAAGTCCTGTTTATTTACTTCAAATGATCCACTCTCTGTTATCCACAATATGACTGGACACAGACCCAGGTGGAATTGTATGTGTAGGAGAGCGTGTACAAGCAGTTTCATATGCTGCTAGGACACAGGAGGTTCATGTTTGGTGTCTTAATGGGATTGTGGGTACTCTGGGATTCTGGTAGGAGTGCTCTCTGCCAAAACATATTGCATTTCCTCTTAAATCTGATTACTCCATGGAGGAGTGAGGATGGGAAAAGACAGTCTTCAGCTGCAGTTATTGGTTCTGTTTTCTGTCAGTTCAAAATGTTGTGTCCTGCTCTCCCTATGGGAACGTTATGTGGGTGTGAGGTACAAGCTGCTGGCTTCAGAGGTGGGTGCACTTCAGACAGTGTGTAAGACTGGCTGTCTAAAGAGGAAGTTCAAAACTTTCAGTTCCATAGGCTCATTTGCTAGCAAGGATCCTTAACACATACCTTTTGTCAGTGGAGCCCCCACATCCCGCTAGATCTAGAGGCAAAATTTCTAAGTTTTCAACACTGTAAAGTCCCAGGGTTAGTGGAAACTAAACAGCAGTAATTTTTTTTTTTGTCAAGGGAACAGTTCCTTAGGGTAGTTTCTATTTATTCTGGGATAAAGCAGACACACAAAACAATTATTACAGATCAGCTAGTATCTGGTAGGTCCCCCGTCTTAATTCAGTATTACTGTTCTCTCTTAATTCAATAATACTGTTCTGTCTGTCAGATCAGCATCCTCTTCTGCCATTGTTGGTGCAGGCATTATGCTACTTTATGTCAGACAAGGGATTCACTGCAGTCTCTTTTAGCAAAAAATCCTTTTCCCTCAGTTCTGCTTTGTAATAGCTGGTTACTGGCCTCCACCAAGAGGTTGCATTTCAGTGGTGGTTTAAATTAAATGATAGAATTGAATTCTTTGGGTTCAAAGCACTATTTCTCTATAACCAATAAAGTCACATTCTGGGCGCATCTACATGTGCCCCCGATTGTGCATTTGGTACCACACAGTCCCAGCAGCGCAGTTATTTTTTAGATGCTATGGCGACATAGTGTTTCATGTAGACACGCCCACTGTTACTGAAAAACCACCATTTCCTCTGGCTGCAGCATAGTGAAGGGGTGGTATAAGGACTGGAGTCCTTTCCTTACTGCCCTTTCTTATAGCATCTATATTAATCTTCTCAGATTTCCCATGGCAAACTAGAACAAAATCTAAAGGGCTCAAAGATGCCACGAAAAGCTTTAATTTGAAATAGCCCACCTTGGGGAGTGACAAGGAACAGACTTCCATGCAGTTTCCCTCCTTTATGCAGCTGAGCAGGGAACAGACAACTTGAAAGAGGTCAAGGATGAAGACTGCTGTATAATTGATGGGAGAACTCTGCAGATTAAATTTCCGTGGCAAAGTTTCTGTAAAGCTGAACTCAACTACAGTTAGCTGTAGGCAGTAGGGAAATCACATTACAGCAAGGGGAATTAATCATCTCAGCTTCCTACAGGGTAACTATCCCTGTAGGATCTGATCGTGATGGTTAATTGTAAGGGCTCCAACCTGAATAGAGGGCCAGGTTCTTAACTTCCTCATTCTCAAGTGTAGTCCTTGTTTTTGTTAAAAAAAATTGATTTTTTTTTTAAATGTATGCCCTGATCCTGTTTCTCTGTAAGTCATTAGCCGACCTCCCATTTGCTTCATCAGTGTATAACTGCCCCATAAGTAAAAGAGGAACACGTCTGACTTTCTCGTTTCAGAATCCTGTTGGCGTTGGCCGCTATGACATCACAAAACAAGAAAAAAGTGCTCGGAAGACATACCGTTCGCTTTACCTGTGTGATACGCAACGCTACCTGAATGACCTGGAGCGGGATGCGTGCTTTTTGTAAGTGAAATGTATCTTCACGGGCTGCTTGAAGTTAGTGATGTTTTAACACCGGCACATAGTAAAGCCTCTCATTCTTGCCAGCGGTCAGGAGACCTACTGCAGGTTACTGACTCTTCAAGTGATAGCCTACATTCTGGAAGGATACTCTTGAGTTAGAGTACAGGACTGGGATTCAGGAGATCTGAGTTAATGATTAAAAACGTTAAAGATGGTTAGATGCTGAGACACAACAGCAACTGGATCTTTTAATGTGATCATTACAGTTTGTTCTGTTAATAAAATACACATGATTCTGATAAATTAGTGATGAGTTTAGAGAGAAATACAAGGTCAGTCTAGTGCAAACAAAGCAGCACTGGCCAGCAGACAGTTCACTGGAGTAGGAATCAGGACATGCAAGTTCACTTCCTGGTTTTGTCACAGCATTGCTAGGTAACCCTGAACAAGTCATTTTACCTCCCAGTGCCTCAGTTCCCCATCTCTAAAATGGCCATAGTAGTAGCGTGTAGACGAAACAAGAGGTGTGTGTGCACGACACTTTAAAGCAGGCTAAATGCTTTTGCACTGCTTTAACGGTGCCAGTGTTTGCATGCCTCAGTGGCATATTGTGCATTAATTCCAGCCGCTGTAGGAAATTTGGCAGCTAAATGTGCCTTAAATGACTTGGGGTGCAGCAAACTAAAACTCCTTTGAGTAGTTTTAGTTTGCTGGCCTACAGCCACGGAGTGAAGCTTTTTTTTTTTTAAAGAAATGTTTTGTGTTCCAAGCCAAGTCAGCCAAATTGAGTCCAAATCCATGAGTGAGTCCAGAATCATAACTGGCCCTACAACCGGCAAACATCCTCCATCCCCACCAGGGGCTTCAGATATTTCCAAAGTCTTTCGGTGGACATCCTCTGTGCAGGCCCAAGCCCAGAGGCTTGGGGTTCAGATGGCCTCAAGTTTCACCTGCCCTCAGCCATATGGCCGCAGGAGCAACCTAGGGAGGAGCCTCCTATTTCTATAAAGTGGGCTTTAACCCCCAACACCTCGGCGGGTACTAAACCACACCAGAAGAACAGTTATCCCTGGGAGGCTTAAGGAAAACTGCCTTCCTGGACCCAGATACATGGTGTTTCCTCTGCCAGGACCCAGGAGTCTGGGCACCTGTTGCTGCCTGCTTCATGCCTGGCAGCAGCCAGGGAAAAGTTTCTACCCAGGAAAAGCGGCCAGCCTGCTCTCCCCCTCCCAAGCCTGCCTGCCTGCCTGAGCTGTGTGGGGGCCTGGTGTTTCCCTCCATGGCTGCAGTGCCCCCCAGGACCACCCAAGCCAGGTGCCTGTGGGCAGCTGCCACCTGGCAGAGGCCTTTGCTGCCACGGAGAGAAGCACCGGGCACCAGGCCCCCCCCAGCCCAGGGACCACTCCTCCGGCTGGCAGCTTGCCCTCCCCTCCCCGCCAGAGAGGCAGGTAAGTCAGCAGGGTGTGTGCATGACACAGGGGTTTAAATCAGCCCTAAATTGAAGAGGTGTTTGTGTTTTTTTTAAACCCGCTGCTTCAAATTAGGGTCCCCGTTTCATTTACATATGCTGAGTGACACTTACTGCCTCTGTAAATCGCTCTGACATCACTGGAAGAAAAGCACTACATAACGTACTGGTATTTACTATAGCTTTCTGCTCATTCACCTTTCCTCAGGACTAAGGATTAGCAAAATTCTATTACAGGTCTGAATGAAGGTCTAGCATAGCTCTGTCAAAATTACTTCTACTTTTCTTTCTTGATCTCTGGATAATTATTAGGCCCTTGTCTTTGCCAGGGTTGCAGAGTCGTAACAAAGGGCAACATTTGGTGGCTGCAGGTGGAACTCAGCTAGGAAATCTTTTTGTTGATATAGTAGCCAAAGCAGAATGCAGTTTTCATATTATCACAGCTTTGTGAGCTCTACCATACCAGTACTAACAAAAACAGGCACTTGTGACTGAATACAAATGCACCAGGCAGAACTTCACACTGAAATACTGCTTACCCAGAACTCACTTTTCTGGACAGTGTTGCATTTTAAAGTTAACAATCAAGTATTACTGCAGTCAAGCTGGGGGTTGTTTTTTCTTAACACTAATTAGGACTGAACTAAGTAATATAGTCACTAATTTGTGTCATCTTATTTTGTCTTCTCCTCCTTTCCAGAGAGCGAATCAAGCCTGTTAGTAAAAGCTATTGGCACAATTTAGCTTCTGCTTCCAGTGAGCCAGATCGGTCTGCACAAGCTGCTGATTCTTCTGAAAATTAAGTCCATGCTGGAAAGCAAATATTCGTGGATAAATTATTAGAGAGATGAGTTATAAGACAACTGCATACAGATAAAGAGATTGTAAAATGACCTCCAGTTTTTCTCTGTCTTAAAATCCATTTTGAGCTGCCAGCTGTGCGGGCCGGGAGCAGTCCGAGGCCCTCAGGGGTTTTTTCACGCGGCGGGCTGTGGCCAGCAGCCCGGACATGCCGGGTCGGGGAAGACAGGCGGCACGCTAGAATTAGGCACGGACGCTTAGTGGTTGTTTAAGATTGTTTACTTACACCGTAGATGGTCGCGGTGTAGGCTGGAAAGACTTCCAGGAAAAGCTTCGCTTAAGTCCCAGTTTCAAGGACTCGGACCCGGGTAGAGCTCTGGATTGACTTGCACGAAGTTTGCTAGGCTCCGTGGAACTTGCGCGCAGGGAAGGGGTTCGTCGAGGGATCGTTCGGCGACGGGGAGAGGCCAGAGGTTGATCAGACCTCTATAGCCAGCTCTAAGGCACACGCGTTGGGTCTGACAGGCTCCACAGCGTGCCTAGAGTTCTCCTCAAGATGTTTACGGAGTCCTCCCTTGCAGGGTTATCCTCTGGAGATCTCCAACTTGGGCGGAAACCACTCAAGCCTCTTATACGGCTAGCAAGCCAATCGCTAGCCGCCACGTAGGAATAATTTAGAACTGACCAATAGTGGGGCACGAATCTGAATACGAATGGCGGGAACTCCTTGCAACGTGCATTTCTTTTCTGCAGCTAAGAAATGCACCCTGCAAAGAAAGCTACAAGTGGTGGGAAATAATTTAGCAGTGCCGAAGCGCACACAAACAAAAATCACACCCTTGGGTTGTGACACCAGCTACCTTCCATTGCCAGTCAGTACTGAGCGGTCTTCACCTTGGTTTGGGACAAAATGACACAATTTACAACAGGGGCATTTAGTAGAATGTTACTTAGGCATGCTTCCTTCAAAGGAAGGTTTGCCATGCAAAGCTCATTCAACATTAATATTCCCTTTTTCATCAGTGATTCAAAGAAGCGCATGTGTGCCTTGTTTGCACCATAGATGGTCTATGTATTGCAGTTGACAGCTCTTGTTCTCAAACTAAACAACAGAAGGGATAAAAGCCAGTCCTACCAGGACCTAATGCTACAAAACTAGAGGTGCATGTTTGAAGACTGAAAATTTTGAACATTGCATTGATTGAAAACAGTGAGCCCTCTGGTGGCCAAAACCTCAGTATTTTGGTGATATTCCCCAGAATCTGTTCACCTTTGACTGTCTGCATTGTAATCACAGCTGTGACCGCATCCTGCACTAAATAAGCTTTAGATGCACTAAATAAGCTTTAAATTTTAGCTAGGACAGGAGCTACTGGAATTGTATTTACTCAAGTGTTTTAGGCAGCTTTTTACAGCGTGCATTGAGCTATGTGCTACTTCAGCTCCACTGCTAGCAGTACCTGTGCTTAGGAAGGTCCACACAAGGTGCAGGGACAGCAGCAATTGCTGCAGAGACATACCTTTAAGTGGGTAAATATAGTCACATTGTAGTTCAAAAAGTAATGAGTGAAAATCCTTAATAATGTATTTTATCAGTAATGCAGATTTGCAGTGAGCCTACAGTAATATACAGCAGTACTTTATACAACACAAGTGAATATACCATTCTTTCACTACGTTTGCTTTTTTCTAGCAATTAAAGATTCTTATCACCCTTTTAAACACATACCTATTCTATACATGAAATTAGTGCCACAGAGAGACAAAGAGTTACCCCACAGTCACAGAGCATGGCAAGTTCAGGACTAGGAATAGAAACCAAGACACACCTCACAACTTCTAGTATGTCTGTGCAGTTTTGCGATTGCTGCTTGTGCACCCATGCCAAAAGTGAGCCAGCATGGCTACTGCTGGCAACTCAGCAGGAGAACTGCATGGGTCTTCAAACCAGTCCTTAGGCGAGTTCTGCTGCTGTGGCTGAGCCACAGCTGTACCACTACAGTTACCTAAGATAGCTAGGTTAAAAAATCCCTAATTACCAGATCAGGACAGCCACGTTAGAAAAGCATCAACAACCAAATTGCTAGCGCTAGGGTGCAATTTCTCCAGTTCTAGACTTCTGGAGATGGCTTATCAATCACAGTTTTAGGGGAGAAACTAGCTTCATCAATGGGAACATTATGAACGTGGTAGAAAGGTAAACCTAGAAGTGGTGAAATACGTGATACGGAAAGACGTGAAACCCATCCTGTTCTCATCCGCCCACCCCTGTAACCTGTCTAGGTTACAGGGGTGGGCGGATGAGAACAGGATGGGTTTCAACACTGACAAGTGCAAAGCACTGCACCTGGGGATGAAGAACCAGCAGCATACCTACAGGCTGGGGAACTCCCTTCTCATCAGCGCAGAGGCAGAAAAGGACCTTGGAGTCATTATTGGTGCCAAAATGAACATGGGCCGACAGTGTGGGGACGCGGTCAGGAAGGCCTTGTCATGCATCCACAGATGCTCACGAGCAGGTCCAAGGAGGTGATCCTCCTCCTCTGTGCGGCACTGGTCAGGCCGCAGTTGGAGTACTGTGTCCAGTTCTGGGTGTCACACTTCAGGAGGAATGTGGACAACATGGAGAGGGTCCAGAGGAGGGCCACTCGCATGATCAGGGGGCAGCAGGGCAGGCCCTATGAGAGGCTATGGGACCTGAACCTGTTCAGCCTCCACAAGAGAAGGCTGAGAGGGGATCTAGTGGCCCGTTACAAACTAGTCAGGGGGGACCAGCAGGCATTGGGAGAGTCCCTGTTCCCCCGAGCGCTCCCAGGAGTGACAAGAAATAACGGTCACAAGCTGGCAGAGGGTAGATTCAGACTAGACATCAGGAGGCGCTACTTCACTGTCAGGGTGGCTAGGATCTGGAACCAACTTCCAAGAGAAGTGGTGCTGGCTCCTACCCTGGGGGTCTTTAAGAGGAGGCTAGATGAACACTTAGCCAGAGTTGTTTGACCCCAGTGCTCTTTCCTGCCATGGCAGGGGGTCGGACTTGATGATCTGCTCAGGTCCCTTCCAACCCTACCTACTATGTAACGATGATATGGGAAGATACTGGAGAAATGTAGAAAGTATAAGAGACAGCAATAAATATAAATATTCTGGACTAGTTAATCTTTGCAGGCTTTATTAATAATGCTCCTACCTGACTGAGATAATTTTAGTTGTAATTAGATGTTAGATGAGCCTGATTAAATACGTGAATCAGTCTACAATTAGCCTTTGGTGGGATAAGCAACTGAACGCAACTAAAAATATGGTCAGTGAAAGAAATACAGATTGTTGTAATACAATGAGTGGGTGGGGAAAAGGGAGGTCCCTGGTGGAGCAAAATGAAGATGTCTGGATTGTTTGGTGGGCATGCATAAGCTAGAGAAATACAGCAGGGGTAACAAAAGGAACCAGTCACATGGAAAAGGATTTGGATTGTTTGTAGGAATTTAGGACTGGAAGGGAATTTCTCAGTCACTGGGCCCAGTCCCCTGCTACTATAAGCAAATTGCGTTTATATAATTGCTTTTATAAACTAGTTAAATTTCAGGTTACTCAGCCAGCAGCTAGCAAATTCAGGTGAGTGTAGAAACATGTAAGACTTGTTCCTCTAGCAGCAAAAATCCTAATCTAGGGAATCAGTGTGACAGCTATATGCCAAAAAGATTTAGGTTAGCAGAAAAAAGCCACGGCAGCCCTCAGCTTAGTTTTAATGCTGAAATAAAATTGTATGGAAGATGTACATTTAAAACATGACATGTGACAAGGCATCAATCATTTAGAGCAAACTCGCCTCACTATGGTGGCATAGATGAGAGACAAATGGACAGCGCTGTGATCTGACATTACCAGGATCCACTCCTAGTTGCCATGTCTGCAATAAAACACACAGGTCTTGAACTGGCTTCTTCAGTCATCTCTTGACTCACAAATGACTTCCCTATTTATTTGATGCATGTCGCCCTTGTATTAAGGAACTGCTAATGGTGCATTTAAAATACAATAAAATACAAAATACAGCACGTGATGTACCCAATTTACAATGATAGTCATAGTAACACAGAAAATTGTTCTAGAATGGGGTGCCCAACCTCTGGCCTGTAGGCCAGATCCAGCCTGTAGCACCATGCCATCTACAGGGCTCCCCGTGGGTCAAGAAATTTGGTGACAGGAGTGGTGGTAGAGCTTGAGCCCAGCATGCAGGGCTGGGCTGGGGTAGCACCAGGCTCCAGGGCCCAGTATCAGAGTGGGGAGTTGGGAGGGGGTAGTGCTGGACCCCCCAGGACCCAATCCCAGTGGGATGTGACACCAGCCTACTAAGGCCTGATCTGGCCTCTAGACAGGCTCTGGGTCACTCATCTGACTCATGGGGCCAAAATGTTGAGCACCACTGTTCTAGGAGAAAGTGGTTAAGGGGAAAGGATAAGGACAAGGAGAAACAGCTTCATGGTTGAAATTACTAAGAAAAGCATGAAGCTACTTGAATCAATACTTACCAAGGCAACAAAGAATGAATTAAGCCCTGATCCTGCAAGCTGCTCTACATGGCTGGACTGTCTCACCAGGATGAAACCCAACTGACTTCAGTGGAACTGAAAACAACTTCTTGCTGGGTGCTACTTTCCGGGCACGCTCTGTGATGCTCTCAGGTTTTAACCATACCAAAATAAAACAGGAAGCCAAAACTGATTCTCTTAGAACATTTTTATTTTATCATCCATAAAAACACCATTGTAACAGTACAACTGGTTATAGTTTCAACAGGTCATACAACCAAGAGTTTCAACACCATCAGCAGCCATGTGCGTGTTAAGAGTGCATGTATGTGATTGAGAGGCTCATAGTAATAGCATTAATACCATGTACCAAAGTTTGCAGATCCATTATGAAGTGAATAATCAAATACAGTGTATAACTGAAGACTATGAATACATAAGTTAGAGAGAGACAGCTTTGATTTTAAAATTCTTGCATAACATTGAACTTTTAAAAAGCTAGCTATCGATTCATGCCCTGTGCAGATTATCTTCTGGGTAGTGATGGGCTAAACCATGGCTTTGCCACAGAAAAAAAGGCAGCTCCTACTGTGTTGTCTCTGGAGCAGACTGTAAATCAGATTATGATCCTTCAAATCATGATTTATCTGCCATATCAGCTCCTCCTTGTTTTGCGGCACATACCTGGCACAGCATACCTTTCTCTCACCACTGACACAAGTGGGCTGACCACAACATTCAGGCTGTCACTTTTGCCCCATCCATTCCATATATGGATGTAAAAAGCTATACCTTACATCATTTTACTTCCTTGCTTGGCAGTACCAGCACTATGACAATTTGGCCCAATATTCATCACTTGCCATGAATAACCAAGCTTATTCAGGCAACTGCTTCATCATTGGTTTAATCTTAGTCACAAATGTCCATCTATCAATAAATAAAATCATTGGTTTAGCCTTAAACTAAAAGATACAAAAAACTCCCTCACTGGTAGTTGTTTAGAGGTGTTTTCGCTTTACTTGGAAGGCAAGCCCCCCAAAACAAACATTTCTCCATGAGCTTAATAAAGTAAAAATTCAAAGTACTCTTTGGATCAGACGTGGAATCAGTTTAAAACATGGTGCCACATGCAACCTCGCTACTTTTCAATGCTCAGGCAAAATATTGAATGAAGCAGGTCACTGGTGCAAACTGACACAATTACATTTTGCTGTGGAAAGAGGGGTTGGACAGTAAAGTGTCCCAAAAGTTTTCCTTACGAAATTAGTCTCTAGTTGGTTGAAAGGGACCTTCTACAAAGCCCATCAAACTAATCCAGCTAAAATGGAAAGCTAATATTCTCATTAGAACCACATCTGGCACATTTCATATTCCACTATAAAACTGAAGCTTAGGTTGTGTGTGAGTCAGTCTTCAACAACTGTTCAAAAAAAAACATGTATAAATAAAGGACATATTTCTTCTCAAGTCAAGAACAAAATGATGTGAAATTATCCATGTCCTCTCTAACCAAGTATTTATAAGGCACTCAAATTAACCTTAAAAAAAATAGACCCCATGACAAGTACAAACTGTTAATACCTGTCTATATGAAATAGCAGCAGTTTTTTCAGTAGTCTAGAAGCCAAAATGTTTTCCCTTCAAAACATATTAAACTTTATACTGATAAGCAATAACAATAACAAACAAATCCTTAAAGTCCATACCCACTTGATCAGAATCAGTACAAATCTGACAGGCACAAGTGAAGAGGATTTTCTCAAACTTTGATATTTAGGTTTCAAACTGAGACAAGTTGTTAGTGACCATTTGTCTGCTCTGTTAACTGCGAGTTTAATTTGAAAATGTATTAACCATATCTGAATTGTGTTAGCTCTTGACTTCCCTTAAATTTAAAGCCCTGCACCAGTTACTGATCTGAAACAAACATTTTTAAACCTATGATTAAATTTGAAGTAAATCCCTCCCCTTTGGCACCTAATTCTGAGACTTCCCTCATTGTCTAATTCAATGACTTTACGATTTGTCTCAGGTATAATACATGTAATCCAGTAAATAACTGATCTATTTAATTATCTTCTTCTTTCCAATTTTTCCTACTTATTGAAAAGCTATTAATTCACATATACATCACTATGTTCTAAGACATAAAGAGATGTCACAGGGTAGGATTGCAATTCCTTAAATAAAATTACTTTGAGTTGGGAAATTTGTTTTAAAACATACTAACAATTATTAAATACAAGTTTATAAAGTAGGAATCTGTACTTTTAAACATCAACAGTAATGAGCTTATTTTGGACAGTAATAAAGCTTTTGTGAGACTGTAATGACTAACTATTGGTAAATCAATTTTTCCCTGATTGCTTGCTTAAGTTATTCAGGCTCAGTGCCTTGCTGCTTTGCAGATTTTATCATATACCTCTGGGAAGGCATCCTTGCAATTCATTTGCTCCCTCAGCTTGTGGTAGAGGGAACCATCAAACATATCCCAGAATTCCTCACGGCTCATATAACAATCTGCATACAACATTTGAAAACTGAAATAAAAAAGGGATAAGTAAATGTTAATGTCATTGTAAAATTTCAAGTAAAAACATGCAGGAATTTAGAAGAAGCAATAAATTATGGCTACAATTCATGATATTTAAATTCCACTTTTTAAAAGAGCGAATAAAATATATTTATTACCATGCATTATGCTGAAATATTCAGCCAGACAGTTTAATGGCAGAATACTTACAACTGCATTTGGAAATAGAGATCAGAATATAAAATGGACAATGCTACTGATTTTTTCCATGAACTTTTTTGGCGAAGGGGGACAAAAAAATAAGTTACACTTGAAATAGTGGTTTTAAAAATGAACACATGCTTCAGAGGATCTTTCCTAGACAGTGTCTTGCCATCTTATTAGTTTTTGTTATGCCACTAAAAGATACAATCTACACACAGTTTGATTTACTGTTGAATCATAAATAAGTTTTCCAAAAAAGACATTTCCGCATGGACTCATATAGGTCTGAAAGGAACCCTCAAAAATGGTCAGGTATTTGTACATCATCCCTGACAGAGGTCCGTCCGACCTGTTCTTAAAAATGTTCAACCTTATCTTCTTCACCATCTGGAACATTTGAGTCTTTAAAATGAAAAATTTCAGCTTGTGTGTATGCTTTAAACACTGAGCAGTATACTGAAGAATGTGGCTTTCTGTAATGCACTGTTACACAATTTGTCCAAGAGAAAAGCACTGTTTCACATTATGCTGCTTTGAATCAGACATGAGATCATGCTTGTGAAGATAAAACACTAACTCATGAAGAACTGGCAATACCAAAAATGCCTCTTACAATAAATACATATATAATTTTGAGTTGGGCCCTATGATGAAGGCCAAAATACCATCTAACATTACATCCCTCCTTTCAGGGGAGGTTGAGGGAAGTGCCTGATGCAGCAGTGGGGGAAATGTCTATATAGGCATGCAGTGCAGCAGTGGATGGGGGGAAGCATGCGAGTGGCATGCATGATATGGTTTACAGTTTGCAGCCCCTGCTTGTGTAGCCCCTCGGGTATGTAGCCCTTGAGGTAGAAGTTGGACAGTCCCGTATTGGTCTACTGCGTGGTTATGAATCTGTAGAATTTTACAAAGTATTTAAGGCTAAGTCTGTTTTCATATGAACAGTACATACAATAAATAAATACTGTGAAGAGTAAGTGCAGCCTGGTTGTTTAAAGGGAGATGACATATGGGAACAGGAAGCCCCAGAAAACAAGGGAGAATAGACAGAGAATATGGTAGAAAAAAACTGTTTGCTTCATTGAAAGAAAGTGTGAGGATTTGTATGCCACCTGGTTGGCATGCTACAACTATCTAGCACAAGAGGACCATAAAAGAAGAGCACCACAGTTATACTGCAATGTGGAAACAAGCCAACAGAAGACGTATTCCCTGTTCAAAAATGAAAGCCAACAGAAGATGTATTCCCATCCTCCTTCTGAGCAAACCATAACAGGCAGTGACTCGAGGGAGTCATTTATGTAAATTAGCACAGCCTGTACTCCAAAATGCATTTTTGTAATATTGTTCTTTATATGTATGTCTGTCGTATGGTTATGTGGTTGTTAATAAAAAAAATACAGAAAAAAAAGGAGTTGACTTATTCTGACAGGTCAAATATTTTGGCTCTACATTGTGTATGTTCCCTGCATCATCTCAAAAACAGACTCAACAGTGTTACATAGCCATGTAGGACTCAAGTTCTTACCACCTGAAGTTATGTAAAAATAGAAAGCTGAATACATCTAGATAAGTTTGACTGGCAAATTAAATATTATAATGTAGTTAATTTTTAAAAAAAGACAAACTTAAAAGACTATTCCACTGTGTCAGATTGTGGGCAAGGCCCTCACTCCTGCTGTTACAACTTTCTCACCAAGTTGCAAAGAGTTTCTAAAATTCTCAGCTGCAGCTGAAGAAAAACTCTCCCAGCAAGAACTAAAAAACCCTACTGCAAGTCCTGGTAAAGGACAGGGCAGAGCCATCACAGACCATGACGTGCAGTCTATGGTCAGTGCTGCAATCTGGAGACAGAAGAGAATTTCAGCCACCACACATTACGCATTAAGTAAAGCATGGCGAAAATTTAAGACAGTCATAAGGACTATGTACCAAGGCGCAGGCAATTATTTCAGGTGGAGCGTTGCTTAACAGTTTGGTGAAATTTAGAGGGCCGCATGGGCAGCCGTGCCCCTTGACAGTTGCGCCCCCCCGTCCCACCCCTAACCTTTGCCACCGGAAGTCCCTCCCCTTGCCCACCCCCAAAATACTCCTTTTGGGAGGGAGGGGTTGCCATCTTAGAACCAGAAAAAACCAAATCATACACTACAAGTTAGACACCTACTATAATGTATTTTAATTTTATTACAAAAAAAGTTTTTGTTGTGATTTGTTGGTGTACTGTATATAGAGATGATTACATAATAACTCAAAAATAAATTCTTAGTCTTATATATTGTGGGGAGGGTGTATGATGGGGCATGGAGGGGGGTGTGTGTGTATGGTGGAGAGGTGTATGGTGGAGTGTGCGGGAGATGTATGGTTGGGTGTGGGGGTTGTGAGGGGATATGGCTGTGTGTGTGGGGGGCAATAGGGTAGGTTGGGGGGCTGCGGATATGTGGGGGGGTTTGGGGGCAGGGGGTGAGTGTGTAGCATTTGTGGGAGAGTGCAGGGGTGTGAGGACAGCAGGCAAGGGCACAGGGACCTGAATAGCAGGGGGCAGGGAAGGCAGCTGGCTCCAGTGCATAGGCCTTCCCTCCAGTGCTGCGCGAGTGTAGGAGCTGCCTCTGCACAGAGGGAGCGCCAGCAATAGACTGCCCAGTGGGGGCTGTGCTCCACACCATGATGTGCAGTGCTGGCTGGAAGCATGCGCTGCCAGGCACAAGTGCTCCAAGTGCCCCTGCCTGCTGCTGCTGCCTGCCAGGGCTACGCACCATGAGCAGAGTGGGCAGGGGGTGTGCCCACACCCCTTCCACCCTCCCTCACACCCATACCCCGCCCATCTGAACTCCATGCTGCTGCCACCCATCCTGGGCATGGGCTCCGCGCTGCCGCCAGCCCCAGCCCCACATTCCCACCCAGATGCAGCTCCACCCCCGCCACTTCCCTACCTGCTGCTTGGGGCAAGTGGGATGCCAGGGAAGCTGAGCAGGTCCCCGGTGGCTGTAGTGGCAGCAGAAGCCCCACCTGGAAGCTGCTGCCGGCCAGGCCGGGTCTTTCCGTCCACAAGGGTGGGAGCAAGGTGCAATAGGATATGTGGGCAGGGGTGTGTATACGTGGGCATTTCGATCCCACCCTCATGGGCAGAAAGGCTGGGTGGGGTACAATTCATTGGTGGGCACCGCAGGCTGGAAAAAGTGCCTGGCGGGCCAGATCTGTCCCATGGACTATATTTTGCCTGCCCCTGCTATATACAGTCAGAATAATTAAAATTTAATATTGCAATAATATAAAGTTAAAAACATGCTGATTAAGCATCAAGATAGTCAGTCATGTGGTGCTGTTCTGAAGACTAAGAATCTTACCCATGCACATTTCTTACAAACTTTTCCAGTTGTCTCATTGAAGCTCTAGCTTCAAATTGTTTTGTTTTGGGGCCTCCATAAGCTCCTATATCCACATAGAGTTCCATTTCATCACCCTTTGGATGGACCATACCAGGGTTATTAGGTAATATGAAAGGACATAACCAGAGGGGATAAACCTGCAGAGATAAGGAAATATATTTAAGAGCAAAACACCAAGTCCTTTGTTAATGAAGCTGACAAAATTACAACCAAATTACACATTCCAAAAAATTTCAGATAAACTTTTGAACACAAGACCTGAAGAGCTGTCTTTGCATTCAGAAGTTTATCTAACTCCACCCCAACTTATACAGTTGGTTGAATAAAAGATATCAGCCTAAGAAATCTGTGCCTTGCATACTTTCTGGACCATGACAGCTACAACACTTACGTTTTTATCAACCATTTCAGATAAAACAAAATCCGATCAAGTTTTACCCAGTATTGTTTCTTTTAAAATAACTGTTTGTTTAAAGATAAAAATTCTAGCAATCTGAATCTTAAGATTTATTCTCCTCTTTCTTTTTGCTAAGTATTTAATTTCATCTGTAGCATAACAGGGTATAATTAACTGTCATCATTTTCTTAAAATTAACATCCTGACATTTTGTGCCAGAGGCACAGCTGTAAAACAAGATTAGTGATCACCATTCAAATGTTTACAAGCTTTGTATCATTTGTATCAGATTTTTAAGATGTGCTCTTACATTAAGGTCACTGTGGAAGGTTTTGATAGATTTTTCAAGGCTTTTCATTGGAACCAACATGTCTTGTACAACATGATGCTGCTCATATAGCTTACGAGTAGCTTCTCCTTGTGTCAATTTCAACAGAGAGATTTTTGGAGGAACCATCCAGCCAAAAATGTAACGAAAAATAGGATTATTGCCAAAAGGAATTATATCCTTAAAAGAGAAAAAAGAAAAGTTGGGAGTACATTAAGTGAAACAAAAGTCAGAATTTCAGATTTTTATTTTGATAGCTCCATTAAATCACAACTCTCAAACTAAACTAATGAAAGATACATACTATATTAATATGGCTATAGAGCAAGGGTTGTCAACCGGGTGTATACGTACCCCCTGGGGGTACTTAGGAAGGCCCCAGGGGGTATGCGGCGGCACAGAGAAGTGGGGGGTACTTGGGAAGTGCCGCTGCTGCGTGCTGCCACTGCGCCACCCCCCATGTCCAGAAGGGGGGACCCACCAGGAGGGGTACTCTCCTTAAAAAAAGGTTGAAAAACCCTGATATAGAGTACGAGGACATTATTATGAATTTGATGCAATACTCAAAATTCTCTTATTTCTATGGTAGGCACATCCATTGGTTCCAATCTAGATCCATTTTAGAGTGCTTTTTGGCAATCAAAATCTTACTTGCAGTTCCCAGAAGATACTACGTGTGTGTCTGTGGTAGTAATGCCTTGCTGGAATGTACTCTGACCCAGTTTGGTTAGCCTTCAGATACTTTTCCGCATGCTTGAAAAACCATGGCTTGTAGTAGTTACCAATTCTATTTATCTAAAAAAATTTTTTGTAAAAATGAGCATGTGCATGTATCTATATGAAACAACAAATACCAATACAGTTATTATTCCTTACTTGAAAATTTGATAAATGTGGTATTAAGTGTACTTGGTAACATAAGACTTTCATTTTGCAGTTACTCTTAGAGGAAAGAACAGCATACATGTCAAGAAAACTTTTAAAATGTGATTTTCATATGTTGGTGTTTTACACCATAGTATAGATGCGTTTTGCTCTCCATCTTTTCCAATTTTTCCTCATTAACATTAACTTACAATAGGGTTTGGCTTCTATAAAGCAAATTAGATCTTTCAAGCAGGGGTGCCAAACTCATTTGGGCCCATGGGCCAGATGAAGGGCACAGGGCCAATCTGTGGGGCAGATTGTATCCACAGACCAGCCCCATGCACTGCAGCATGGAGGGCTAGTCTGGTGAGGTACTACATGCAGCACACACTACAGATCCAGCCCCACATGTCACATCTAGCACACATCGACTCTAGTTCAGGGTTCACACTGCACGCAGTGCCTGCATCAGACAGACCCAGCACAATGGCTCCTGCACACAGCTCCATGCACCATACAGCACACAGGACTGGAGCCAGTATATGTGGCTTGTGATATGTGGGGTAGGTCTAAGACCAACCCACGGGCTCCTAGGTTTCTATGGGCTGGATCTGGCCTGTGGGCTGTTTATTTGACAGCCTTGATTTAAAGCAGATGTAGATATTTTAGGAATATTACGCTCTCAAGTCATTATTGGGCAAAAGTCTCCACATGGCAAACAGTTCCATAGCATGTTTTGGCCAACATTTAATAGTAATTTTCTAGCCAAATGATATTACTTTATATTGACATTGTAGTAATTTATATATACAAATCTCCCCCTCCCCCCAGTTTTATTTTCCCATTTTAAATCATAGCATTTTTTCCCCATAAGTAGGTAGAGATGATTTTGTTTTTGTATTCTGAAATGTTGTGGCCATAGACTAAACTATGTACTAGAAAAATAAAACTTAGAGGTTTGAAAAAACCTACCAATATAGGAAATTCAGGTGTAAGCTCATGAATGTATTACTGCCTGCAGAACTGTATTGCTAAATACATTCAACCACTTCAGCCATCCCCAACTATTTTATAGTCCATTAAAAAGTATATGCTTGTATCATTTCTGAAATTTTGTTTTACATCCTCATATAGTGCATTTTTTTCATGAAAGAGAACTGAAATGCTGCTTATTGGTTTCCCTTAGTTACCTTGCCTTGTTCTGCTTCATCAGTCAAGATTCCTGTCATGATGACTGCTTCTTCCAGAGAGTACACCAGTCCTTCCACAAAATTGTTTTCTTTCTTTTTAGATTCTTCAGTAAACTTTTCACATATCTTCTCCAAACCTCTTACAGGCTCATAATGTAATTTTACGTATTTCTTGACAGGAACCATTTTTATTTCTGCTGCAACCAGGAACCCCAGAGTACCGCAAGACCAAGGCACAGCATAAAACAGGTCTGAATTTTCAGTCTGCAAAAAGTGTGTCATACTAAATCATATGTCCATACTTACAACCGTCAATGACATTGTAAATCATTGCAAAATAACATTTTCTCTTACTGGTGAACATCTCACAAGACTTCCATCAGCGAGAACAAGTTCATAAGCCAAGCAGGTATGTTGAAAAAGTCCATAGATATGGGATGAAGACTCAATGCCAGTTCCCATGATCAGACCACCTTATTAAGAGATCAGACAATACAATCATTTGAAACTTACTTCCCTTTAAGAAGAAACTAATTTACAGAACAAGTTTTTTAAAGGGCTCTTACAGTCATTTTAGAACAGGTTTAAAGCTCAGAAAAATATCTATAATATAATGTCCCAGCAGAATACATAGATTAGTGAGAATTTCTTTTAAAATGTTTTTGAGAAGCTGAGACTATATGTCATTATAGATATAGAAGATATTTAATTAAAAAAAAAAGAAGTCATGCACTTCTCACCTACTGTGAGGTCATCAAGTTCTGGGACCACTGGAAGAGTCCAACCCATAGGGTTCAAGTGAGCTGTCAACTGACCCATTGTGACCAATGGTTCCGCACGGACCACCTAAAAATAAAAATATTATTCTACTATTAGTGCTGACAACACAAATCTGGATTGCACTTCTGTGTATTATCAGAATTAAGACACACTGCAAGTCAAGAGTTTAATTAAAAATATTTGTGAAGCTGTTTAGAGATTACTCCCTCTATCCCAACATCTTGAAAAACTCTCCTGCTAAATCCCCTAAAGATAATACAACAGGTGTTTTAGAGTTCAGTTCATTACACAGATTAGTTGCTTACAATTTCTTTCAGATAAAATGCTCCATGCATGGATTTAAAAAAATATTAAATATGGTGGGTTTACTGTTTGTGAAAGGGCACGTCTCCACAAGACGCTGACAGTGCAGCAGCCTAATAATATTACGCAGTAGTGCGTCACAGCACGGACCATACTAATTTGCTACTGCACAGTATTATTATTAGGCTACTGTGCAGTAGTGTCACTTAAAAGACATAAGCCAGCTACTGTGCAGTAACTCAGTTACTGTGCATTTTAGTACCTGATTATATAAGTACTAAATAAATGCATACTAGCCACTACTTAGAGTCTCATACAGACAAACACTACCATTTTAAAATGGTGCATGCATAGGCGCATGTACCCTTTGCAAGCTCATTTTATCATATTCATGTCCTAATATTCTTGACGTTTGAAGTGTTCAGTTGTGTTCCTATGTTTGCAAAACTCTAGTTTATATACACACAAGATTTCCACAAATGAGGTACTTGGCATTATTTAAATTAAGCTATTTTGATGCTCTTAACTGAGACAGTGCTTTGAATCAATTGATTTAAGATAACACTTCAAGAAAAGCAGAAGTGTTACCTTTAATGAGAGGACAGTATTCCAAAAAAGTTTCACAATTCTTATACTCAGAAGACGTATGTAAGGGCAGACAACTTTAACTGAACAGGCACAAGATTTTTTTTCAGAAATAACTAGATTTTGTTTATGAAATGCATAAATCTCTCAGAAAAAAATATATTTAAAAAGTTTGCCCCATAATATACCACATTCACAAAATTCTGCCAGGGCTTTCAGAGTGAGGCATAGTACTGAATAGTTTGGAAGTAGCCCTTAAGTCATTTTGACCGGCTCTTCAGAGTATGGCGGGGGCAGGGGAGTTGCACAAGAAAGTGGAAACAAAGCCTTTCATGTGTCTTTCAAAGCTGCATTTTCAGTAGAGAGACTTGAAAAGACAGCAATGACATGATTCACTTTGGGTGCATCTACATGTGCCCCTGACTGCACAGGACCTGCCGGTACTGCATGGTCTCAGTGGCACACGGGTCGTTTTTTTACCCTACTGTGCAGTAGCACCGAGCTACTGCAGCAGCTGTTGCTACTGCACAGGAGTGGTGGCATCACGGTTAGTGCCCGCCAATGCTACATTGCCTCAGCTCGTTGCTACAGTGACGTAGCATCTAGTAAGATGATTATCTTTGCATCTGTTAGGGCTACAGAATTTTTTAAATCAAAGAATAAATGATCTAGGCACAAATATGTCCTCAAAATAAGAACCCAAATAATGAGCTGGCTCATACCAGACCCTTGAATCTAAAAGCTTTGTTCAAGAGTGTCAGGTTCTACTATGAATCAGTATCTTATGTCCATTTTCTCTTCCAGGAAGAAAATAATTTGCTCTGCAGTTCAAATTTACAGACCGATTCACTCTGTGTTGTGCACAATATTGATGCTGTTCTGCTTTAATGCTAGAAGTGAATTACAACAAAAAAAACTTTTCATTTTTTTTTACCAAAATATACATGAAGACATCATACTAGAATTTGTGTATTTTTTAAGCCAGATCTTAAATATTTCTAAGAAACCTGGGCACATCAGACCCACAAAATTATGAGAGCAGAACTGCATGCTCAAACACATTACGCTACCTTCCAAACTAGCAGCCATGTAGTACGTTTGAAGGCACTACTGCCTAGCACAGTAGGTTAATAATGCAAACTTACCACTACTGTCCTTTAGCCAAGAACCATAATAAAATACTGGCAACATTATTGTTCCTAAACTTTTCTACATGTATTACCTGTCTTTCAGTATCTACTTCTAGAATATCCATTAAGTTGATCATTATGTTCTTATGAGTCTTCTTGTACTTCCCAACGCGAAGTGATACAGTTAGCCAACCGGGTCGGCCAGTACACATGTATGTTTTCCTGCCTTCCTTTTTCCATTCCCGCACCTGCAAGAGTTCATGATTAGACTTATACTTTGAAATATAGAAATGCAAGCATGAAAATGATAAGTGAAAACTGTTTTCCCAGTTTGAAAGCATCTGAATTATTTGTCAATAATGCAGCCTGGAAGTTTTAGCATGACTCAGACCTGTGAACTTTTCACAAAATAGCACCAGTAGTTCTAACTGTCTGAGGGTAATAATTATAAAAGATCCATACTTCTGAGCTTTTGGCATGTTATTCAGAAAAACTATTAGTAAATAATATTTTAAAAATCCACAGGAAAAATGAGTCACTCTGCAAATGTTCATTGGCATAAATAGGCTCAACGCCATGTAAGACAGTGAAACTGCACCTATCTGTGACCACAGAAAATTTGGCCCACAATGTGAAAAAAAAAAAGGCAAAGATAAAGGTCACAGGGAAACTGCACAGATACATCTCCCTATTAGGGCTATGCAAAGCTTCGGTAGCTGATTCGATTTGGAGGAGATTCGGCCCAATTCGGTGGCCAAATCTCCGAATCTGAATCGGGAGACTCATTCATCTCTCCAAATCAAATCAAATCAGAAGCCTCCAAATCGATTCAGACAGATTTGGAGATTCGGCCATAGACTGTACTAGGCAGTGGTGGTGGGAGCAGCTAGGGGAGCAGCTGGAAGGGCCTGGAGAAGCTGCAGCTCATCCGGCTGCTCCCCCTGCTGGGGCAAGGCAGGCAGTGCTGGCAGCCCCAGAAGAAGCTGCCGAGGCTGTGGGGAATGATCAGGGAGCTGGGGGATCGAGCTGGGAACTGGGGAATTGAACCAGGAATTGGGGGGGAATGATTGGGGGCTTGGGGAACAAACAGGGGCTTCCCCCCAGCTACTGGTTTGATCCTGCAGCTCCTGGCTTCTCCCGGGGCTGCCAGCACTGCCTGCCTCACCCCAGCAGGGGGGGCAGCTGGATGTGCCATGGCTTGAGCCAGCAGCCCTTGGAGAAGCCATGGGGGCTAACGACTGGGTAGCTGGGGGAATAATGGGGAGCTGAGGGATTGAACCGGGAGCTGGGGAGAAGCCCCTGTTCATTCTGCCAGGCCGATCATTCCCCCCAACTCCCAGTTCGATCCCTCAGCTCCCCAATCATTCCCCTCAGCCCCTGTGGCTTCCCTTGGGGCTGCCAGCACTGCCTGCCTCGCTTGTTGGAGGGGAGCAGCTGGGATAGCTGCATCTTCTCCCGGGGCTGCTGGCTTAAGCCAGGGCTTGTCTGGCTGCTCCCCCCGCTGCTCCTGCTGGCACTGCCTGCCTGTATAGTCTATGACCGAATAAGATTTGGCACCGAATATCTTCAGATTTGGATTAATCGAATCAGGACAGTGATTCAAATTACCGAATCGAATCACTGTCCCTCCGAATCACCGAATCCAAAGCGAATACTTTTCGCTTCGCACAGGCCTAGGCCCTATGTATCTGCATATCTAGTATGACTAGATTTTAGAGAACTAGAATTCTAGACAGGTGATTTTATTTTACCCTAAATGCATGCATGTAGACAGCCTGCTTCTAACAATTACAAAGCTTAAAGGATAATTCCTTACACACTAATATTAAAGTGTACCTATAATATTCTAATATAATAAAGGGCTTGGTCTATCTGTCTGTCCATAATGCTCTTGGAGCACTCTGACTGGTTACTGAAACGACCTATCAGAGTGTTCCAAGAGCATTAAGAATGGGAGGCGGTGGCGCGGCACCATGACAGCGGGGATGAAGCAGGGGGGTAAGGCCAGCACCACTAGCCCTACCCCCTCCCTCTGGGCCCTGCTCCCTGGAGGCAGCAGCAGCACGGGATGCTGGCAGAGGGGGACAGAGGGGCAAGCTTCCCCACCCCTGCTCTTGGGAAGTAGTGGCATGGGGAGGGGTGGTTAGGGTTAGCAAGCTTGCCCTGCACCTCTCTCCCATCATTCTTGATGGGCAATTGGTTAGTTTGTAAAGAATGTGAGAGAGAGGAAAAATGGGCAAGATAAGAATAAGGGATAGACTGTAAAATGTTAAGTAATGGAAAAAAATTCCATGTTTTCTAAAATGATAGTAAAAAAAAGTCTCAGCCTTACTCCAATATTCCATTAGCTATTTGAACAATAATAAAATACTGGTTGTCCAGCTATGGGAAAAATGAACATTGATACATAACATTAATTAAGTCATCCAACAGGCTGTAGCAGGTGTACAATGAAGAAAACTGCAGACTACAGTCCCAGTCCTGCCACTACATCAGCGTAGAAAGATGCACACAGGATCCACAAAAAAAGGAAGGGCAATCGTCAAATGTCCGAATCATCCGTATTAATGGTGTTCAAACTTTTCCCTGGCTGGCTAGATGGGCAGTACCCTGTCCCTCTGCAGCCTGGATCCCGCTAGTGGTCCCGATCTGGCACAGGGGCCAGCATGGTGGGCACCATTCAGCCATGCAGAGTGGAGCACAGGGCAGCCCAGCCGCAACCTGATCCCACAGGAGAAAGGGGGCATGGCTTGGCTCCAAGCTGATCCCACAGGGGAAAGGAGGCATGGCTTGGCCCCAAGCTGATCCCACAGGGGAAAGGGGGCATGGCTTGGTCCTGCAGGGGAGGGAAAGGGGGCACAGCTTGGTTTTATTGGGGGGGTGGGAGGAAGAGAGTGTGGCTTGGCCCCAACCCAGCCCTGCTGGGGAGGGGGAGAGGGGGCATGGCCCAGCCTCAATCTAGATGCAGGAGAGGGAGAAGTGGCTTAACTGCAACCAGCAGTGTGGGGTTTGGGAATTTGGCAGGGGGAGGGTGACCGCATTAAATGACCACTGCTCTCCTGCCATCAAACTTCCTACCTGTGAGGAGCCCCGCAGGCCAGATAGAATGGCTTCATAGGCTACATTTGGCTCATAAGCAGGAGGTTGAGCGCCCCTGATCTATACCAGTGATTCTCAACCTTTTGGCTCTGAGGGCCAGATGTGCGGGGCCAGCCTGTGGACTAGATCTGCAGTCAGTGCCCAGAACCACAGCCCAGATCTGGCCCTGCACCACCTGAATTTCCAGTGATTTTAAGGTTAAGTAATATATGAATGCTCCATAATATTGTCAAGGTAAGTTTCAGCAAAAGTATGCTTACCACTACTAATAATGCCATAAAGGTTGTTATTCATCCTTATTAAAACTGTGGCAGTTATTTTAAACTCAAGAATATAACTGGGAAAAGACTCAATTTAACTGTAATACAAATCCAATAATATATTACTTTTATGTTTAATACAAGAGGCAAACAACCCTTTTTTCTCCTTAAACTTAAAAAGGGCAAGGTGGTGTACCACATGTGGCTTATCAAGATATTAGGACTTGTACTTTCTTAAGTAAGTGTTGCCATGCAAACTACAGAGTAAAACGGCAGAAAATGAGATAGAAGAAAAAAAAGCACAGATATGACTTCATTTTTCTCAATTGTTGCACATGGGCAACAGAGGCTGGATTCGGCTCTGCAAATGCCACCGAAGATTAGAGAGAGAGAGAGATCAGCAGAGAAATGTTACATCAGTGATGCTATGCAATGAGTTGGCAGAAACCTCATTATGGGATTCATAAAAAGGACGCCTATTTATACAGCGTAGGTGCCAACAATGCAACTCAAAACTACTCTTGCCAGCAGCAGTACAATGTAAGGCAACCTGCTGCCAGGAAGCCGGGCTGGTTACTAACCAACTCTATCTTTATAACAGTCTCCCCAGCCGCCCCCACATTTCCAAATGCCAGCGAAGAAAGCAAGTTTTGCGACATGAAGGTACGGCTGCTCCGGACCAAGCAGACGAGCCAAGTACCAGGTGCGGGAGCTGCACGGAGAGACTGGTTTACACCAGCGGAGCTGCAGCCTGAGCGTCCTCGTTGACCTAAAGACGGGCAAAAACAGATGCGGTGCGAGAGATGTTCGGATGCATCCGAGTCAGAAACCCGGGAGCATCATCGCAGCCCTCAGCACGCGCAGCTCGTCCCTGGAACGAACCGCCGTTCCCTCCAACCGGCCACGACCTAAGCAACACCCGGGGCTAAAAAACACACGGCCGGTCTGATTCGCACCCTGTCCCGCAACAAGCGGCAGACCTCCCAGACAGACCCTTGTCCTACATGACGCACCTAGCAAGCATCCCGGGGGCTCCACATGACGCACGGACACAACTGAATAGGCCACAGTCGTTATCGCACCATCAAAACGACTGGGGAGCTACCCAAAAAGAGCTGACCCATGACAACGTTAGCTGGAAACCGTGTCACAACTCCGCAGCTGGTTTCACCCGCACGTGGGGCGACTGATGAGGCAGCGCCGCGCTGTCCTGCCCCTGTTTTGAAGTGGGCAGGGCTGACCATCCCTGGATTAGAGCCCAGAAACGGAGACAAGGGGTTCCCCCCCACCCCGCAGCCCCCAGGCCCAGAGGCTGCGCTTGCCCTGGGTGTCACCTGCGCCTGGATGTTGCGGACGCGCTGGCTGTGCTGCC